CAAGCGGCATGTACAGGGTGGTCCACGTAAGGTGACCCATATACTTATCTCAGAAACTACTGGAGTCAAAAAAAATTTGTGAGGAACAAATATTCACGAAGTAAAAAATATTTTTAAAATATTATATTTTCATTTATACAGGGTGTTCGGTTTTCCTTGGGACGATACCAACTTTCTTATTTTCAATGGAACACCCTGTATTTTTTTGCATTTTTGGATTCTTTTCACTCTTTTAGGTATATTTTGTAAATATATTAAATAAGAAAATGTTAATACTTCTTGAGTAAAATTAAGATTTATTAAAATTTCTCTAAATGTAGACACTCGCTAAAAGTTAAAAATAACCAACTAAAAGTTATTATTTTTTATATTATGTAGTATCCATCTCTTTAATAATAAGTAAGCTATAAGTTAATTATTATATTTTTTGGAAAATATCATACAGGGTGTTTTCTATGTCCCGTTGAAAATAGCGATTTTAAAAGTTTAAAATCTTGTTTTTCTTCAATGGAACACCCTATATATTTTTGCATAATTGGATAGAATAAGTAATTACCTTTCATTTTATATATATATGTCCTATACCTAAACCTAACAGAAAAAAAAATATTCGCATTTTTCACAATTAGTAGCTTTTTTCCAATTACCTTAGTTAAATTTTCATTATTCAAAGAAAACACCCTGTATAATATTTTCCAAAAAATAAAATAATTAACTTATAGCTTACTTATTATTAAAGAGATAAATGCTACATAATATAAAAAATAATAACTTTTAGTTGGTTATTTTTAACTTTTAGCGAATGTCTTACATTTAGAGAAATTTTAATAAATCCTCATTTTACTCAAAAAGTATTAACATTTTCTTAATTAATATATTTACAAAGTATACCTAAAAGAGTGTGTAGAATCCAAAAATGCAAAAAAATATAGGGTGTTCCATTGAAAATAAGAAAGTTGGTATCGTCCCAAGGAAAACCGAACACCCTGTATAAATGAAAATATAATATTTTAAAAATATTTTTTACTTCGTGATTATTTGTTTTTTACAAATTTTTTGTGACTCCAGTAGTTTCTGAGATAAGTATATGGGTCACCTTACGTGGATCACCTAAAAAAAATATTCGCATTTTACAAAATTAGTAGCTTTGCGCGTATGGTAATTATTATAGTAATATATATTTATATATAAAAGCATTTTTATTTGTTGTTATTGAAATTTATTTATTTGAATAATGAAAATTTAACTAAGGTAATTGGAAAAAAGCTACTAATTGTGAAAAATGCGAATATTTTTTTTTCTGTTAGGTTTAGGTATAGGACATATATATATATAAAATGAAAGGTAATTACTTATTCTATCCAATTATGCAAAAATATATAGGGTATTCCATTGAAGAAAAACAAGATTTTAAACTTTTAAAATCGCTATTTTCAACGGGACATAGAAAACACCCTGTATGATTTTTTCCAAAAAATATAATAATTAACTTATAGCTTACTTATTATTAAAGAGATGGATACTACATAATATAAAAAATAATAACTTTTAGTTGGTTATTTTTAACTTTTAGCGAGTGTCTACATTTAGAGAAATTTTAATAAATCTTAATTTTACTCAAAAAGTATTATTAACATTTTCTTAATTAATATATTTACAAAGTATACCTAAAAGAGTTGGTAGAATCCAAAAATGCAAAAAAATACAGGGTGTTCCATTGAAAATAAGAAAGTTGGTATCGTCCCAAGGAAAACCGAACACCCTGTATAAATGAAAATATAATATTTTAAAAATATTTTTTACTTCGTGAATATTTGTTTCTTACAAATTTTTTGTGACTCCAGTAGTTTCTGAGATAAGTATATGGGTCACCTTACGTGGACCACCCTGTACAAACTACAATGTACTACAAAGTCGGCACCGCCTCGAGGCCTTGTCTTTGGCTTTGGCGGCATTTGACTCTTTTTACGCATCGCAATTTTCGGCGTCTTATTTTTCTAGATTATTATTTAGTTGAAGCTTTTTTAATATGAAAAAGAAAGCTAGACCGGGCCGAGTTCTAGTAAAATGCTCATTATGTGGATCTGTGTTTAACAAGGACTAGAAAAAAATGCATGAGAAAAATATTCACGGTGGAAATTTGGTTAAAATTAAAATTGTTGCTATTATAATTAATATTCACGGTGGAAATTTGGTTAAAATTAAAATTGTTGCTGTTCCGGATAATCCATTTGCATTGGCAGCAAGTCAAAAAAATAGAGAACGAGAATCAATCCCATCGACTTCGAAAGAGCATGCTTATGGTAGGTAAAGACATTCTTTATCTACACTTTACAACACTTTACATACATGCAGGGCCGAGCCGTGCCGGGGGTGCAAGGGGTGCATGGCACCCGGGCGGCACTAACACAGGGCGGCAAAATATCATCAAAAATATTGTATCAAATTATCAAGAATAAAAAAGCCACCTTGCAATATGCAAAAAACTTTCTAAAAATCACTTGCGTTTTATTGATGTCGGCGTTTCAAGGAATCATCGTTTTTACTCTTCACATAAAAACAATGCCAAAATTGTGCTGTCAGGCGGCAATGATAAAAAAGACATAACCGAACGCGCGATAGCCACAAAAAATGATGATGACAATTTTCTTAAAGCCCGCCCGCTTCGCTTTCCGTCCGTCCGCTTCGAGTTCGTCAAGTTTCATGTTTTACGGAAGCGGGCTTACGGGAAACCAATAAAATCGCGCGCTGTGTACCACGTGATATTGTTTACAAGCTGAACTGTTAAGTTAAAGCATAATTTCTTCCGATTTGACGGCTGCGTATTTCAGCAATTTTTAGTTTTTCTATTAACGTGAGGCAAATAGGATGCAAACATGGTAGTTTCTTTTTTCTTTTAATGCGTTTAAGTTAAAAACTAGTTAATGATTTAAAAGGCATCTTTTCGAATTTATTTGTAGCTTTAAGAATATTTTTGACCATGCCAGTTACTGTTGCCCATGAAGAGCGGTCATTTTCGAAATTAAAACTAATTAAGACCTATTTAAGATCCAATATAAGTCAATTCAGGCTTTCAAGTTTAGCAATTATAAGTATTGAAGAAGATATTTCTAAAGCCGGGTCTACAATTGTCGCAGAACGCAGATCGCAGAACGTAAGCATGCGCAAAGCACCCAGCGACGTTGCGATGGAGCAAGGTCACACGTCGCAGAAAGTTAATTCATCTTCAATAACGTCTTTCGCAGGCTTTTATGTTAGCCAATCATAGAGCGCTAGAATCTATCTGTCTCTGTGCTCTCTTTCTTTCAATAATCAATACTTTTATTTAGTTCCTTTTCCTATTTCGCGGTTATTTTTAAATTTTTAGTGTAATTCTCAGAAATTATTCGAAAAACGTAATTGTCCAAATTTAAAATAATTTTCAATATTTTCTAAAGACCATTTAAATAAATGTAGGTATGTATATTCTTATTACTATTGAATATTCATACCTATATTGATTTAAATAGGTAGTTTTTAGGAAATATCGAAAATCATTTAGAATTTTCAAATTTTGATCAAAATAATTATTTAAAATTTTAAATAATATTAACTAGTTCTATGATAATCTAAACAATTTTTCCAATCCAATATTGGAAATATTTGTTTACCAAAAGTATTATGATAATCAAGGTAATTTTTGTTTTAAAATTAATTTATTTTATCAGGTAAAATACTAATTCTTACTTAGGTATATTAAATTTGCTAAAATTACCTCGAAATTCTGGGTTAAAAATAAAAACTGTTGATATATGTGAAACACAGATTATAAAGGTTGGTGTGAAATACTCAACCCAGTGTCACCAACACTTTACTTTTTATTCCCTAAAAATTTGCATTTTTTCATTTATATTATATATATAATATACAAATATAATACGTTCTGCGATCTGCGTTCTGCGACAATTGTAGACCCGGCTTAACAACTTGGATGTAACTTGATTAGGGAATTTCCTATTAAAAAAGCAAGAAAAGTAGATTTTAGTTTTTTAGTTTAGTTTAATTATTTTTGTTTTTTTTCCTGAATGTATTTTTATTTTATTCTTTTATGTATTTGTTAATAAATACTTTGTTATTTTACTATAAAATTTGTTATATGTTTATTGAAAATAATAAATTATGAACTCCTTCCCTACCGACAACCTAATTGTTTACATTAATGGGAGCGGCAAATTTAATTCTTGCACCCGGGCGGCAGATACCCTAGGCTCGGCCCTGCATACATGATAAAACTACTGAAATTTTTTACTATTACTAGGTACTAAAGTATCGATAAAAAAATAAGTTGGTTTTTTATCGTCTCCACCCCCCCCCCCTCCAAAAAAGTGTGCCTCGGTACGGCCCTGGCCACAACTTGTCAATGTGTATTTAAAAGGTCACTTAGTGACATGGAAACATGTACGATAAAGGGCGTTTTAAAGGTGGGAGTAGAAAAAATTATTTATTTGAAATAATTGTTAGATATTGTTAGAAATTTTTAGAGATCGGCAACCTCTATTACGTTGTACATTTTGTTTAAAAATCCATTTTGTTTAAAAAAATTTAAAACTTAAAAATATAAAAATAAATAATTTCGAAAAAACTTTATTTAATCTTTAACAAATTGTGTAATAATAATTGAATGTTATTAAAATCTAATATTCCTATTATTACGTTTATAATTTCGAATAATTGTTTTTTAATGTATCTCATTTTAAGTAAGGTATAATAGTATACTAAATACTAGTATTTAATAGTATTATTTTGGTGTATTGTATTGTTTAAAATTAAAAAATCTAATCCATTAAATATTAAATTTTAGTCCTTTTATATCCAAAAATATATAAATTGAATCCTATAAAGTATACAGGGAAAATTGCAAAAGGTTTGAAAATGTTGTCAAATTTTTTCCCAAATATATATGGTGAAATATAAAATGCCATATGGTGAAATATAAAATGCCTTTAATATTGAACACTTACTTTGATCGTGTCTTCTCCTCCATGCAATTCTCCAAGTGAAGGCCTTTTCACAGCCCTCTTGGAGTTCCTGTAGTTCTCCAATCTGGGCAAAGCCTCCCTTGTGAGTTGCACCAAGGATTTCTTTCTTTCCTTCTTCGGAGCATCATGGAAATTTGTGTTGCTAACTAAATCCCCAACTGTGTCTTCGTTTTTGCTCACTCCATTCTCTTGCAATTGGAACGCACTATTGTCCACGCCACCCTTATATTTACCCTCCATATTTACGAACACATAATTTTTGTCCTGGGAGTTTATTTTTCAGCAGTTTCAGGCGCACAACTGAAATGATGAGCGCGACGCGATTTCTTTATGTACGAAATTGGACGGCGCGTAGATCCATACTTGCCCAATGCAGATTTTACTAATTTTGTAGCGCCTCGAAAATTTTGAAACGAGTTTTTGAATTCCACCTCTACGCGATTTCGTTGTTGCAGTTTGTTAGGATTTAATTTGGTTACCTTCGCTGAGCGTTGTCCATCACGAAATGAAGGTTTTTAAATGATTTATCAATGTTTACCGGTTCAAACTAGACCGCGGTCATAAGTTTTATTAAAAATTGAAATAGCTCGAACAAAAAAACGTTATGTTTATACTTACATGTGAGGTATTTATTTGTTATTTACCTTTCTTTGATACCTTATCACTTTTACCTTTAATGGTCTACTTATACGATACAGAAATGAATTTGATATTTCGATTTTTTTGAAGCCCAGTAATTATTATTTTTATATTATATTTAATTACACACTATAATTATGAATAAAATAAACCAGCCAAAAAATATTATTTGTTTGTTTAAATTTAATCTAATAAAGGCATTTTTATCTACGTATTAGAACGATACGTATCATGTTAAGGGTGTGGTTTAGAAAAACAATGTCAAACTTAAATCAATTAATATTTCCCACATTAATTTAATGTTTAATGCAAAAATATTATTAAAAATTATTGTTGGTTACAATTTCATTAAGGGGAATTTTAAATGATGAATAAAATTAAAATTTTGCAAACTAAAGATAAAATGGAATAAAAATTCCTTAAAACACAGACTGTAAGTTAATTTGCGTATGATTTAATTTGACGTAGTTTTTTATTAGGATAAGTCTGAACCTAAAAAAGATACCAAACATTTCTCAAAACCGTTTTTATCATATGTGGGGGGTATCAGTATGACCACAAACGGAACAGTCCCTTCGAACATTTTGATATGTTTGTCGTGGAATAAAAAAGTCTAATGGTGTCAGATCTGCAGATCTGGGAGGCCATTCTATTGTTCCTCTTTAGCATTTTGATGAGATGAGGATTTTCATTACTCCAATATCGACAATTTTGTTTGTTAACATTTCTATTTAGATAAAAAGTAGACTAATCGCTGAAGCAAATGTTTTTTAGTATTTGGATCTGATTTGTTATTTTATTAGTCATGATTTCACAAAATTCTAAATTGAATGAGTGGAATTTGTGATGTTTCAACAAATTCCTAACATACTTAGGGCAAAGCTCTGTTAATCTGGAAGCCGAACGAATGATATTGTGTGATCTACACCAAACTGACCAAGAACCTCAATATGGGTGGCTTAATTGCTCGATTGCAAACAGATCCCGTTCGTTCAAATTTTGCGACCAGATTTTTGCAACATATTTATGACGCACATTTTTTCCGGGATTAAATGCCACTGCATTTTGTAGAGCATAACGATTTTGTGCACCATGAGTCATTTAACTTGAAACTTTGAAATATCTCAGTTGATATGCATTTTACGAAAAAAAATTTAAAATAATAAATTGGTCCTCATACTCTCCTCCTTAAAGGGGGAACAGGGGGTAACTTTAAAATTTCCAATGGAACACCCTATTTTTTATTGCAGATTCGGATCATTCGACTAAAAATAGGTAGATTTTGTCTGAAACATTTTTTCAAATTTGTAATACATGGCGCTGTAAAAAAAATCAATTTTGTTCGATTTTTCTTCTCTTTGGTACTTGGTTTTATTTTTAAAATTTATTTATTTATTTCGTTTTAATATTCTGCTAACACTGCTCTGGGATATTCCCAAATTTCTAGATAATTCTTGTGTGCTTGCATGAGGATTAGCGGCCGTTGCTACTAATACATTAATTTCATTATCTCCACCTGTGACTGTTGCTCGACGAACTCTTTTTTTCGGTTGAACACTCCCGTTTGTAGTAAACTGCTTGACTGTACGGTGAAATGAAGTACGTGATCGAATTTTATCCGGAAAACGCTGAGCGTAGATATTAACAGCATCATCAAGATTCCTGCCTGCTTCTCCATAAATCAAAATCATTTCTATTTTTTCTTCCACTGTTAAAAAATCCATTATGAATAACTGCTTAACGAAAGGAGCTATTTTTGTTTGCAAATTAATCTTCGAACTAAATTGATTAAATAATGCTAAACTATTTATAAATAGTTTTTTTATACCTCAATAATAATTATTATTATAGTTATATATAATACCATTTTTTTATAACTCAATTAGAGGATTAAATTAATTAATTTTTATTAAAAATAGTACAATAATCCTTTAAATTAAAGGATTTAATGCTAGCAGGTAAACCATGGTGTGCAATTGATAATTCACCGAATAAAATAATGTATAAAACTTAAACCAAAGGAAACATAAATATTAGTTAAAAAATCGTGGGTATACTTAAAAAAATCAGATTTAATTTAATTAGATAATTATTACCAAAAAAGTGATATTTTTATAGAAAAATTATTGCAAAATCGTATAAGAAAAAAAATCGAACAAAATTGATTTTTTTTTCATTACAGCGCCATGTATTACAAATATGAAAAAATGTTTTAGACAAAATCTACCTATTTTTAGTCGAATGATCAGAATCTGCAATAAAAAATAGGGTGTTCCACAGGTCGTATTAATAAGAGCCTCAAAGAAAGTTCAACTGTTTAAGGAAAATGTAATTATTAAAATGTTTTTAAGATATTAAGCATTTAAGTTTAAAAAACTCAACAACTCTGCCTATCTCGTTTTTGTTGCTAATAAAAAATAAGTGAACTAAAATTGTATTGTTTGTATTAATACAAAAACGGTGCTATTCTGAAAAGTTATTTTCAGTCTTTTAGTGAATATTCTTAGTTACATGATGTAACTTGCATCATAAATACCTAAATTATTTATTTAGGCTAAATAGAATATAACAAAAAAAAGTTTCACTAAAAGACTGAAAATATTTAAGCAAAAAAACAAACTTAGTAGGGGCCATTTTTGGGACACCCTGTATAAATAATATTTTAATTAGTTAAATAAAATGCATATTGATTAAGCAAAAAGTATCATAATGCAAATATTGTATCATATATACATAAATAATTTATAAATATATGGTTTGCCGCAAAGACGCGATAAATTTTATTAAAATACTATTTTTAAGGTGATTCATGTTTGTTTTAATGTTATTAATGATATACAATAATATTATATAAAAATACTTTTTAATGTCATTAGGCCAAGTTGTTAAACTATATTTAAAACGTGCAATTATTAAAAGTACAAAGTGAGGTTAGATAGATCTGGCAGAAGTCAAATTTTTTTATTATATAATAATATATATATATATATATATATATAATATTATATAAGTAGTAAATTATCAACAAGGGGACCTTTTTTGTGTGTAAACCTCCAAAATAAAATAATCTCTCATCAAATCCTGGTTCAAGACAAGTACAAAAGTACAAAAAAGTCATGGAAAATTTGAAATTTTTATTAGGGTAAACCACATAGTTATTGGACACTTAAGGAATATTATTTATTTAAACTTTATATATGCCGTAGTTTCTTTCTTATAAATATATAAAAAGGATAGTTTGTTTGTTTAAACTTTATTTACGTTTACTTAAAAATAAGAATATTTGAATTTTTAATAATGGTTTTATAAAAACATGCAAAAAGTATAGTAATAGACATTTTATGGACCATATTTATTGGACATACAATTTTTATATAAGCATAACAACTTTACATGAAATAACATAAATTGTTAAATATTTTTTAAAGATAAATTGCTGTTAGGTAATTTTTTTATTTCGTTTTTGTAAATATCATATAATTCATATATTTATTTCTCGGATTGCTCATCCCTTTTCTGGATTCATTAAGTGTGGTATCTCTAGTTTGTGAAGCATTTATAATGTTTAGGCCGGAACAGGATGATATGTGTATATATCTAATATTTTTTCGGGTGGCATGTTAAAAGTATTTTCCGAATTTATTAATTTTGTTGCCATTAGTTTTTTATGTTCTCTATCATGCACTGTATTTAAATCAAGAAAATCACTATATTACTTACTCTCTAAAAATGAATTAGTCAAAAATGTCATAGCGAAAAAGCTAATAATTCTCGTCAACAGCCATTTAGCAGTCAATTCCTATGAAATATTATTCGCTGAATCCGAAAATGTCGTCAAAAGTTATAAAAGTAGAACAGTTTTTGAAATATAATCAATTTTACATATAATATGGAATTGACTATATCTTAAAAACTGCTTAACTTTTATAGTTTTTGAGGGTCTTTTCGGATTCAGGGTACAATTTTACATAAGAATTGGCTGGTAAATGGCCGGGATACAAATAGAGTATGATATTGGACATATGTCCAATAATAGAAATTTATATTTTTTACCAACCAGTAATTGGACAATGGCCATTTCACTGTTTGTTTTCAGAATAAAAATTAAAACGCATTAAAGTGACAATGTTTAAACCACGAGGAACACATTTAAACCACACACTGATCTGTACACTTTTTAGAAATATTTTTTATTGTAATTTAAACACAGCCCTGCTCTTAACAAAAAATCAAAAATCTTACCACCAAAGTAACGTGCGAACTTTTTTGTCCTATATTGGACCCAAAATAAAGTAGTCATCTAATGATTTGACTTTAAGGTAACTATTTATAGAACTCTTGTTTTTACAGTATTTATGTTAATTGTCCCATAACTATAAAGTGTTCGATAACTGTCCACCTTATTGGCGATACAAATTTTGATCAATTCCCTAAATTTCACGTTTTTATCTTGAACGGTATTGGAAATATTAAATAAAAACCATCTTCAGGGGCTCCTACAGTAATTTCTTTCAAGACATTATTTATTGAAAACATTGTGTTTTTAACAAAAAAAAATTATATTAAATTTTATAATATAAAAAAAACGTATTTGTTATTGAAGGTACCTAAATATAATATTTCGAAATCACAACAATTATTTTTCAAGGACATTTGGTCCAATTATAATAATGAAAAATTATAGTTTACAAAGGCAAATTTTTAAAATTCCTAAAAATTAAGGGTGTACCTAATATATTAAGTATCCAATTAATAAAATCCCTTAGTTTTTAGGTTTTTAAAAATTTGCCTACATACATATACATACATATTATGTATATGTAAATATTTACAATAAAATTTAGTTAAAAAAAAATAATTATTTAAATAATGTCCAAAATGGATTTTAAAACCCAGTAAAAAACTTAACTAAAGAATCTTCAATGACTCTTAAAAACGCATTTTAATGACAGCAGGGCCGTTGAGAATTTTTTTGCCATGACAGCGATT